TTAATTAGATTTATGCTGATGACACATCGTGGTCGATTGTTGGGCCTGATGAATAACTCAAACTACTTATAAAGCCTTTTAATGACGATAGCGTTTTATGAGACTTTATTAAACTGGGTCAATCACTGGCGTCGTCTCCGATATATTACGTGTCTATCCATAAGTACGCATCCGAGGCACGGTGCCAAATTTCTTTTGAGAAATCTCTTCTTTAAAGCTATCGAGAAAGTATACGCTTCTCCGTACGATGCACAAGTATTATATTAATCTCAAAGAAAGTCGGGTCTTTTTTTTTATTGGTCAGAATTTTTATTACACCTTCATTTTTTTAACACCCGATATAATATCACGATAATAAAGATACATCGTAATAAAAATGCATAAATTGAACACCGTAACGCGGTAAGAATACGACTTTTTTCTCCTTCCAACTATATACGTGACTCGAACAAGTTCAAGCGGTGGAAACGGAGCTTTAAGTTCTCTGCTCCGAGCATTGGCGATATGTCGGTATACGCGAGGCAACATATCGAGGCAAAAACGTTTATTTTCAGTCTCCACCTTTACACCCCAGGAAGGAACTTTACACGTAGATGAGCCTGGATCGCGTATGCGCTTGCGTTCGCGTGTCTCTTTATGCGGTTTCGCAACCCAGTTCCATACACGGTTGAGAAATCGACGAGTAGAAAACTGTAAAATTACGCGTACCCGCGTGAACGCATGCATTATCACAGGCATAGCTGACCAACCGGATCAACGCTGATTAAATTAACGAACGTACGAAATTTGCAAAGGAAGCCACGTGCCGTGCTCCTTTCCTTTTCGAGCAACGGCTACTATTGTACTACAGAGAGACCGTTTTTTTAATTGGTCCGGTCCCTTTAAGCAAAGGGACTCCTTTCTTCTTCCTACTTCAAAGCTTTTTCCCCCCTTCCTCACGATAGTTGCTATTACGACATTTTAATAACTATGCGTTTTACGAAGCGGATTAATTGTCGCTCCGGAAAAGACGGTGAAACATATGCGCCGTCGCGAGTGTCGCAAAAAACGCGATAGGAAAAAAAAAAAAAAAAAAAAGAATTGAAACGAAACGTCGGTAATAGGTATGTATGTCAAGATTACGGAGACATGTACGGAACCTGTATGTATATTAGTTGTGGCTACGTTTGCTTTTACATCTGAACTTAACGATCGTCATGCGTCATTAATTCACGGCGCAAAAATAACAATTACACGTACAGGAAATTGATATTAATGGCTATCGCGTATTTCTCTAAAGATCGTAGATCGCTATGGATGTTTAATTTTGTGCGATGCAAGAGGAAAAAGTCTGTTGCCTGTTTAAAATAGCGGGCATTCTTCTCTCGTGGAAATCGAATAATTTCATGGATAATGAAATTTAATAAAAAATTAGTTTAAAGCTACGATTACGTATTCCACATTTGTAACAGTGTGATATAATTGCAAAAATTTCCATCGAATTGATATTCTAAATTTTCTTTCTAATCACCATAGAAATTGCGACGATTTGTTTCCTAAACAGATTCTGCAACCGGATGAAGGGGACAATGAAAAAAAAAAAAGAAAAAAACGCACGTATTCCTAACAAGTGTGGGTGTACGTTACACAGCGTCGCATTGTAAGCAATCAGATGTAACCCAGACTCGTCACACATGTCTTTACACGCTTACTTTCATAAACGCATTTACGCACAGCGATGTGTGATGTAGCGAACAATACTTGTACTTCGCTTCCCTGCACGAAGACCATGAAATTATAGCGGTCGTATCGGTGAATGTCACGAAGTAACGAGGTACAATACATCTTGGATAAAGTACACGAATGACCTACATTCGTCATCGCCATTACGCCCTTTATCGTTCGCGATGTAAAATCGAGCATCGGGGTCTTTATGAAATTTCGTATTTAAAGTGAATTAAAGTGAGCAAATCTCAACAAATTTACACATTTTTTATGTTCGATATAAAAAAAAAGAAAAAAAAAAAACTTGACGTTTGCAGCACATTTCAGTCTTTCGTTTTTTTCGTTCTTTTTTTTTTTAAACATTAATTATTCAATTTGCATAAGTCAAGGTAAATAGCAACTGAACTTCCGCTCGTTATTACACCGGAGAATAACGTTCTCTGGCTGAACACATTTGTTCAAGTATTTACCATCTGACTAATAAGTTTAGCAATCTTCTCGCATTCTGGGTACGTACTATTATCGAAATGTTTAATCCAAGTTCCTCGAACGTAAACAAACAAAAAAAAAAAAAAATTATAGATCTTGAGATAGATAAATATTGTATTTTAACGAGCGACATCGTTCGATGCTTTTGATCGATCCGAACGAAAACAAAGTTTGTTTTATCGCAATAAGAATACAAAAGTATTTTTGCTATATGAAGAGTTACGCTTGAAATGATTAGAGATAGTAACCATGGCCTCGTAGCATGAATGAAGGTCCATTTATGAAGATCCGTTTACAGGGTCCGTACTGATGAGATTATGACGTAATTTTACGTGAGTCTAAACTGTACGAGTAGATAAACGGAGTCACGTACAAATCATAAATGATCGCCAATATGGTAACCGTCTGGTAAGTGAGTTTATACAATCTTTATCAGAGAACTCCATGAGCAATGGAGGAGAATTGTGATAAAACAACTTTAGTTTTGACGAGTCATCAAAAATATATGGAATGTTGTAAATATTGAAATTCATTCTTAAGGACAAAGAAGTAAAAGATTATTTATTTATTTATTTTTTTTTTTTTTTTTTTTTTTGAGAATTTGAAAATTTTTTTTTTTTTTTGAAATTTTAAAAATTTTTTTTTTTTTTTGAAATTTTAAAAATTTTTTTTTTTTTTTGAAATTTTAAAAATTTTTTTTTTTTTTTGAAATTTTAAAAATTTTTTTTTTTTTTTGAAATTTTAAAAATTTTTTTTTTTTTTTGAAATTTTAAAAATTTTTTTTTTTTTTTGAAATTTTAAAAATTTTTTTTTTTTTTTGAAATTTTAAAAATTTTTTTTTTTTTTTGAAATTTTAAAAATTTTTTTTTTTTTTTGAAATTTTAAAAATTTTTTTTTTTTTTTGAAATTTTAAAAATTTTTTTTTTTTTTTGAAATTTTAAAAATTTTTTTTTTTTTTTGAAATTTTAAAAATTTTTTTTTTTTTTTTTTTTTTTTTTGAGAATTTGAAAATTTCTTTGTTTTACATGACTAATTTAATATTCGAGGAGAATATAAAATGCGTTCGAGGAAAGGATATGTAAAAGAGCTTGGCTCGTGTCCATACACATTTCTTCACGTATTTACAACACGCTACTTTTTCTGGAAATACCATTTGATTCATTCAGAAAACCGTACGAAAAATATAACTCATGTTAAAGAAATAAGAAAATCACAAAGATGGTTTTTTTACACTTCTGTGTACACGATACTACCTACAGGCAGTGCCAATAAATATATTCTTTGTATTGCGTTTGTATTGCATTAAAGTTTTCACGCGTATCGTAATTTTAAGTAAAAACATTTGCTTGATCGTCCAGAAATGGACAGTTTTAAAACGAACAAACTCGTTTTAATCTCAAATGTCAATTAATTTTGGAGTTGAATAGATTATAAATAGAAACGAGTTCTCGTCGTGTATCGTACAATACGTGTTTTTGGACTCGCAAAATCCTCTACGCACAACTTATATTCTCTATTTACAATTTTCACGATCTACAATCTACATTAACCATGACCTTTGAGCTGGAACAATCAGTCATCAAACCTAATACGTTAATGCAAAGTAAATGTAATAAGTTGAAAAACTCATTATGTAGATAGTCTTGTAACTTCCATGTATATTTACTATGTTCTTCGCATTATTTTCGCAATTTATGTTGTGATTAAATAAAATCATGACTTCTTCATATTCAAGGTTATTATTCTTGTTTGCTTTTCTCTCATATGCATAATTACAATTTACTGTAAATAGGCGTACAAATATTCCGAGTCATTTTTGACGAGTCTAACGATGAGTATCAATTATAATAATTGAATAATGATTGGAAAATTTTTTTATTCGAAAAAAAAAAGAATTTAATATAAATTCTTGAAATTTATCGTGTAAAATTAACATTAAACTAATATTTTATTTTTTTTTTTAAAACCATTTTTTTTTTAAATTACTATTTCCGAATAAAATAAGGAATCGTACGTTTTAATAAAGCGAATTTATTAAATGTGCTACGAGAGCAAGGAATATTATTAGGTATATTTTATATTTTAATTAATTATCAAGAATTCTTTATAAGAATCCTAAAATAGTATAACAAAGAATGTTATAACATCTCTGAGATTGGATTAATTTAAATTTAAACAAATATCCTCTGATCGATCTGAATAGAATTTTATCGAGTGTATTTAATACCAAGCAAATTGAATAGTTGTGCTATTCTTATTAAAATGAAGATTATGAATAAATTATAAAATCAGTTCAAATCAATCGTATCAAATTGTTACGTAAGAATGAACAAATACAATTAAAAGCTGTATACAAGTAGTTATTCCATGGATAAATGTTATGATAAATGTATTGATTGCTATTGTAAATTGTTAGATACGTCAAGAGAAAAGATCTAATGATCGCCTGTTTCTTACGGTATCGCCAAGTATATTAAAAACCAGATATACAGCTTCTAGTGTCATCTTTCTTTCATGAATATTAAATTACGGCATTTCATCAAAACTTCCTATGTTTCCTAATCTTTCTCTGTCGGTCTAGATCAACTAAAAGGAAGATACTTACTCTCTTAAATATAATAAACGTTTCGTAATCTGAACCCGTATTGAATTATGGAAAAAAATTACAGAAAACCAAGACATATATATAATACTCGCATATGATTTAAAATTAATAATAAAATTATAATAAAATATTTGCTTGAAAAATTGTGTCATGATGACGATGACGATAGTTTTAAAAATTAAAAGAGATATAATTCTCTTACCTGTTTACCAGTGCGAGGTAACGTTTCCACATTGGTACCGCCGACGACAGGCGCTTTTTCCGGTCCTCCATTCTGTTGGCTGACATTAATGTTGGCGTTAAGATTCGCATGTACGTTGGCATTAATATTGTTCACATTATCGGTAAGGTTCGTGTTTCCAACACCGGCATCCCCACCAGTGCCAGTTCCACCCCCGCACTTTCCTTCCTCGCCCGTCATCACTTCAGCCTCACCCTCCACCAGTTCACCCCTATCTCACCCTTTCGCGTTCCACGCCTCGAGCTTTCCTTCCGTTCACTGATTACCAATGTCGGTCCGCTGGCCAAAATCCGGATATCTGTTCAAACGAGACGGCGAATCGTCGATCAGAAGAAACAGGTCAATCTACGGATCGCCGAGCCGATTGGTTAATTCTTTCGGATCTTATTGCTCCTATTTCTTTCGTTTCGTCAGCTTTACTAGCTATACTATCACATCTATCTATGAAATATCGATCCTATTGGAAACTACTTCGAAAACGATAGGAAAAGGTATCTATGTTCGAGTAAAGGCTGTAACACAAAGCAAAGAATGAATTGCTTCGCAGAGTTTAAATCACAGGTTATAAATATTATAGAAACGTATTCCGAATAATTAAAGAAATGATTGATTGCAATTTAACTCGATTAACATGTCATGTACAAGAGTTCCCTTTCTTTTGCTGACACGCTACCGAAATTCATTAGAAAACGTAGAATTATTTTCGTTCACTGGTCGCCGCTATTTTTAGGATTCTCACCGCGCGATACGGGTGGTATAACGGTATATGACTAGCCAGTTCAAGCACGTTAGGAGGCAGACTTCACAAGATATGCCGATCAAGAACTAATCAATCAATGCAACGGGTATTTCTCGAAAATTAAAATAATCAAAACTGTATTGTCATTGGAAATAAATGTTTCTATCCACATTTTAACTGCATCACGAATTGAGCTCGTTTTCACTACAGTTTAATTTTAGCCAATCTCATATAGGCCGGTTTCCACTGACGTTACCGAACTAACGGTTAAACAGCGTAAAACTTTTGTTACAGATTCAATCCACTCACAGCGGACAGATTATAGAAAATACTACCGTTCATTAGAAGAAACTGGGCAAAATAGTTTTCGATAGCTGTGAGGAACTCGAGTAATCATACATGTAGCTCTATCGTCAGTAGTGGAACCAGGGAAAATCGATTCGGCCGTGCCCGTTTGAGCACTGCGCGCCTCTCAAGTATGCGAACCACCGCGATAAAAGCAGTATCGCGCGGGATGATCGTTTTGATTCCCAAATATTCAAATAAGAGATATTTCGTATTTCATACGAGTGAAACTTATAGAAAAGTTTATTCAAAAGCATAATAGCATTGTGTATTGAAATAAAAATCTATAACGAACGTGATGATAAAAATATGATTGCAAAATTTGAAAGAAATGTTCTTATTTTTCTTTTATATCTTTGTTTGTGTTAAATAAGAAGAAATTCTATGAATTCAAAATCAAAATCCGCTAGTTTTCATCATAAATCTAGAAAAAATTCACATTATATACAATAATGTATAAAATTTGATATTTGTAAAAGAAACTAAAAAAAAAATAAATTCGTTATTACTTCGAAAATGACTATTACTAATGTCCGATTATCCATTATATAAACAGAACAAAACAAAACTGATGGAAAATATATGAAAATGAAGACAAAATCATTCCTGAAAATATATAAATTTGAAAATTGAAATTTATGGATTGATTTTACAAATCATAATGTGTGATCGATATCAAACGAATCCACCATATTTCTCTAAAGCAGAATTTCTGCTTCGGGCTATTGTCCGAGTCACTGTATACACATATATTGACTATGCCGGCCTTAGTTTCTTATTTTCTATAAAACTACACATTATATTTGATGATTAATATTTTATAACTTTTCATAAACTTTGTTTTTTTCTATTTTCATGACTGAATATACTCAATATATGTAATCTATCAAAATAAGCTACCTTATCGAAGAATCATGTATTAATCGAATCCTGATGCATCGAAAAATGACGCGATTAACCAAAGAGCTACAGGGTGTTGTAGCGATACTTAGAATTCCCGAATACTAACCACAGGATACCGAGGCACTTTTCCCATTAAATGTTTCTTCACTGTCAAATCACACGAAGTTCCGTCATTTTTTTTCTACTTTCGCCGTTGCGCGAACCGAATCATATATATATATTAGTCAAAAGGATTCCGTCTGTTTAAGAAAGTTCTGAGCGTAACGCGACCACCCTCCTGGAAACTCCGTACGGCTTTGATCGGTTTTATAACTTCGATGGCGACGGGTACGCTCGAAGCGACGCCTGGTGATCATGTTTCAGATGCGCTGGCTATCCCCTCTTTTCAATCGAGCTTCCCGATTCCCATCACTATGACTACTTCGTACAGCATAAAATTATAAGTAAAACTGAATATGGATATTTTATTACATTAACTTAAATAATATTTAATTCACTATCTATATATAAAAACAAAAAATCAAATTGATATGCATACTGAGGGTTTTTAAAAAAAAGAAAGAAAAAAATAAAACAATCTTGTTATTATTACTATTTTAAGTGATAAATTTCTTGCATGAAATTTTGTACAATTAATTATTAAGAAATATTTGAATTTTTTTTCCAATAGAACAAAATTTATAAAGTTTTATATCATATATGATATTATATTTAGTTATGTATACGTAATTTATAAGATTCTATTTTTTTTATAAATAATGACTTTTTAATTTAAATATGATTCTAATAATCATATTTAATCATTTTCGTATTATTCTATATATAATAATATATTCTAATAATAATATTCTATATATTCTGTATAAAATAAAAAATATATTTGTTTTATATATTTTGTTATCAATCAATTCATAATATTGAAAGAATATTCTACTGATTTGCTAACTTTAAATATACCTAAATATTTTTTATTAAGTTTACATATCGAAATTTTAAACAGATTATTAATTGATAGAGATTTTAAATTGTTAATTTATTGTTGTAATTTTTCCTATTTTTCGCAATATCTTTAGAGTATCTATTATAAACGTATTTCATTTTCTAACATATTTTGAAGTACTTTTTTCTAGAAAATTTGTATAGTTTACAATATACATATCATCAATTTGATGTAATGGATTTATTCTATGTCTTTTTCCATATAATATTAAGAATATCAGTCGATTTTATAATCATTTTATAATCATCTCTATCAAAAATATCATAAAATATAAAAATGAAATTATGTTTTTAAATATTTCAAACAAAAATTTGTTTTTTTTATTTATTTTATTTCAAAATCAATATTAATGCTATTAATATTACATTTACATTTAATTTTGATAATTCTTTACGATTGCACTAAATATCTAATTTATAATTTTATTACATATTTATTATTATAATATTATAAAATAAATTATTAATTACATCAATAGTTTTTGTATTTTTCTAAAGATATATATAAAACTTATATTAATTAAAATATTCTAATATGATAATAGTTAAGAAAAAGAGATGGAAATATTTCATCTTATATTTCGTGATTTATCGATAAAAATGCAAGTCAATTTAAATAAAAATGTATAAATAATAAAATAATGTTTCTTAATTAAAATCATATCTTTAATATAAATAAAAAAATAAAAAACATC